ACAAGTTCGTTAAAAAACAAGCTTTCCTTTGCTTTACTCCGGGTTTTGAACAAAGAACTCTAGTATTACATGTGTCAAGAACTGTCTTCTTCATGGGAAAGGAGAAAATTAATTTACTGTAGGAAGAACAATGTTCGGTAGTCTATCCTTTTTCATCTGTTTTTTTTTCTCCATTTTTACAGCTACCATTTCAAGGGCTCCTCTAACAATTTTGTCTTACAGCTGGGATAATTCAACATGTCCCAGCAGTCTGTCTATCATGTGTGTCAGGACAGTAGGTAACAAGACTGCCATAACTCCAGTAAAGCACTATTTCTTTCTCTGGAGAAGGTTTCTTTGGAGGATAGAGAAAAAAGAAAGGAACTATTGGACAAAAAAGCCAGTATCACATATGGGAATGAACTGAATAACAGTTATATTATTCTGTGAACAATACATCCCATTGAATGCCGGGAATCTTAATTGTTCATTTGGATAATCCTTTAGTCAACAGGCCATCAGGTGGAACACATCCACCATTTAAAACATTACAATAATTTTTACTTCATTCAGGAAATCAGTAACTTAATAACCTAAATATTCAAATACATTTCATCATCCATGAAAACAATACAAAAATTGAATATGGACATCAAGCAGCTTTTATTTTGGCTGTGAAATTCTGATTTTATAGAAATTCTCCTTCCTTGACCTACTTCACAATTTTAACAGCTGAGACGCAGCTAACGTTAATAGCTATGGCACAGACTTCTCAGTTAGTTGCACTTAAAAGAACCTAGGACTTAACAGACACATTCCTTATTAAATGCCAGTCTGGGTAATATTGACTTGATTAAAAAACGTTATTTAGCTCTTATACAGTATGTTGGGTAAAACAGAATTTACTGTAGGAATGCCTTGTTTTCAGGGCACGCTTTAAGAACTTCATCTGGTTCCCTTTACAAAACCATACAGGGCCAGGCTTTGCTTTTCAGAGAGATAGGTTCATACGGAGACACGGCTGCCCTCTGCCTCACCTTCCTCTCTGGCTCTCGTCCAGGAGCCACATCACATCTGGAGGGAGGTTTCTGCGCATTCCAAGGGGTTAAAACTTCTCAATCAACCCATTCACAAACCAGGCTCGCCCCACTTTTCACTCTGCGTTTCTTGCGTGACATGCACCTTACATATGTGAGAAAAAAAACCAAACCTTTGTGTTTGGTTTTGCGTTGTTTTTTTTTTTTCAAAATACTTGCGGCTGTCAGCTACAGCTGTGAGCACATTCACATGGCACAAACCTGCCAAAGAAAAGTTTAAATAATTTCTCATAGTGTATTTAATGCCTCCCATCTGGAAAGGAGACTTCTCCCACTTGTTTTTCTTCAACACTTGCTTTTCTAAAACTAGTAGTGTTCTACCTGAACGCTGGATGTACAGCGATGTAAAGAAGGCAAGTACTGAGGATGCTAAAAAGACATTTTTGAAGTTTTTATTACAACTGAACTCACTGGGAAAACAAATCCTCCTCTTTCTTAACAATGTTGCTGGTATCATTGTTTTTACGTCTTTACATATCAAGGTGCTCACAAGAACATAAGACAAGCTAATTTATTATATTTTTTTAACTGTTTTTTAGGTACAGTAGCCGTGAAAAGCTTTATGATCATGTTGTAAGAAGAAAAAGGGCAAAACTTTTTCACTACTTAAAATTTATTCTTTTTTTTCCAATATAAAATCAGTGAGTGGTGAAAGAGCAGACATGTATTCAAATTTAACAAGTTCACATTTATTTTTTGAGCCAGCAGCCATATCACCCTGCAGCTCTCAACTGGCTACCCACTGAAGCTAAGCAGTGTTGAGCCTGGTCAGTACTTGGATGTGAGACTTCCTGGGAAGCTATGGCTGCTGCTGGAAGTGGAGTTAGTGGGACCAGTGGAGGGCGCCCACCCTGCTGTCTCTGTGGGTCCTAATACCCCGGTATAGTGGTGGGGACACGATACTGTAGTGGGTGCCGTCTTTCGGATGAGATGTTATACCGAGGTCGTGACTCTGAGTGGTCATTAAAGACCCCCGGGCATTTCTCGATAAGAGTAGCCACATTTCCTTCCTCGGCCTTTACTATGGCCTCCAAATTGTCCCCATGTATGATTGGCTTGCACTTGCCCTGCGATGGACTGGTGTACCCTGCCTTGCGCTCATTGCTTGCCGGGTAAGCTCCGGCTTCCTGCGACACTGTATGGTATAAAGCGGTTTGGTAAATGACACGACATCTGATATCTGATATCAGATATATATATATAATAATATTTTTGATGAGGTGTTCTGAGTTGATTAATATGCTTTTTAGCTTTAGTATCCTTTCACTCTCAAGTGAGTAGAGCAAAGTACATTTTAGCTATTAACAAAATCACATTAGCAGGTAAACAGACATGTAAAATGTTTCTTAATCAGTTTTTGGAAAACCAAGAAATGGAAGAGTTTTGCTATCAGCCATAGTGCATATAGTGCAACAGTAAACAGCCTGTACTAAAATCTGGCAAATATCAGAACTGTTGGACAGAGCCTTAATGCTATGAAAAAAGAAGATATTAGAAATTATACCCTTCTCCTGCGTTACAGAACGATAAAGCACGCATGAGAACACAGCATGACACATGGCACGTACAGATGTACACATATTGTAGCTCCTGGTCAGGAAAGTATACTGTAAGTAAGGATTAAGTCTCAGAGGCACAAGGCACTGGTATGATTACCTGTTAATTTCTGTAGGATGTGTGGTTCTCTAAACAGAAACCAATCATGAAAATAAAAAGAAATACATCATCCTTAAATGGTAAGAATAAAAAATCATTTTACATAATTTTATGGAAAAAATACGCAAGTTGCTATTGTGTGTGGCCTATAATGATTCAAATAAATGTAGGCTCTAATTGATTTATCCAATTTCAAGGAGATTGTCAGCTCATATTATGTCTAAAACTAATGAACTTGGGACAACCTTCCACAGCCACAGACTGAAAAACGATTTTCATTTAATTTCATAACTGGCTGGGTTTGGCTTCCAAGATCACATTTCAGCACCAGTCCAACATGTCCTTCTTCTATTCAGCTGTAAAACAGCCCAAAACCTCCAGCAAAGCCCCAAGCAATCTCTGGGCATTAACTACTAAGACATCAAGCAAAGTATGCTGAACGCTTCTCCATAAATACTTGCCGAAACCGCTAACTGCATGCTTTCTCCTCAAATATGTACATAAATTTGGAGTACATCAATGGTTATGAAGGTTGTGTTTATAAATGTTTAGCACAACACTGACACTTTCTTGCCAAAATTGCGCAGGATACATTACTTCTGCTCAACATACTACTGTTATATGGCTTTGGCAAAAGAGACAGTGAACACGCAGTATCATTTAACAAGAATGGAGTCTGAGATCTAATTTCAAGTACTAAACCATGACATTTGAAGAATGCTATAAAGAAGGGTAGTCTGACAGCTAGCATCTTAAGGCCTGTCTTCTGCAGTGCTTCACTTACTAAATCCCTTTATGATTGTTATCTCTAATGGAAGCTTAACAAGAAAAAATTCATATGTCAGGATATTTTCCAAGTGAGAACAATAGTTTTCCACAGAGTAACGATCGGTTTCAAGTCCGTCAGGAGTTTGGATATCACAAAATACAATGCATGTCTTGTATTTTTCTTACAAAACATATAACTGGGACTTTGTAATCTCCCAGTGATACACTTTATGATAATGGCACTTCTATCAATACGCAGCTGTGGCTCCGAAATCTTTCATCTGAACAGGTGCAGCTTTGTTCTAAAGTTTATACAGATACTGAAAATAGATATTTGATTATCTTCCACTCGTTATATAAAAAACTATCAAAATTAGCATCTTAAAAGAAAAGTAATCTCCACATTGTGAATTAGCATAATGTGGGCATTATCAAAAATCCCAATATGGACAAGTATATACTTTCATTTTGTTCATATGGAGGGTCATGGGTTCAAATCCCAAGTGGCGTACTTTGGACTTGACTAGGTACTTCACTAAAATTGAAAGCAATTTACTAGAATTGCTGCAAGTTAATGCCCAATTATATAAATAAGTCTCTAGGACATTATTGTGAATGAGAATTTGATCTCAACTGACTCACATCATAATAAAAGGAATAAATCAGTCATATCTAGAGCAGGACAAACAGAGTTCATTGTAGAGAGCAATTAAAGATGTTCCTGTATTGTAGACTAAAGGCATTTCCACCCCAATGAAGTGTCACAAAGAAATGGACTTGTGAAAGCGTGTACTACCTGGATTAATTCCATACAGTACTCCGTGTGACAGATCTCATGTGTTCATGACCAGTATGGGCAACAAAATCCCATTTGGCCACTGGGGGGCAACACAGGATAATGATACACTTTCAGCATAGGTCTACTGTTACTTACAGTTAAATAGATACCATACCCCACTATACAAATACTATGAAGATATTTTTCTTTAGGACAGACAGCCTTGATTCTTTTCACCCTTTCCAAATGCATGTTAAAATACATTCCTTCAAAATCTGACTGTTTTCTCCTTCCTTTATCCAGAAGGAGCTCTTTTACCTCTGCTAAACATTCGGCTTGCCAAAATACCTGCACAAAACACATACAGTACGCTACACAAAAAAGTTCAGATTAAGTGGCCACTGATTAAATGTACAAATGTACAAATCCTTAGCCATATAAGAGGCAAGTGCTATTCCAGCAAAAAGTCAGCATGGAATTGCAGCTTTCATTTTAAAGGCTCCCAGGAGCAACACACTAATGTCATAATATTTTAACCACAACTCTTTCTTACTTTTTAGGAACACAAGAGAGAAGTGGTTAAAACACTATATCATAAGTGTGTCGCTTTGGTAAGGGTCTGGCTTTGAAATGACCCACACCGGGAACACAGGTATTCATGGATGTCGAAAAATACAAAGCTAAAGGAAAAATGAGTCAAGCAGTCCTGTGCAGGACCATACCTTGCACTTTCAAAAGTTGCCGATGCGGTCTTCCCAACTGCTCCAAAGCCCACTCCCACTGCCAGACCCTCTAGAAAATGAGAGGAAAACACAGTAATTATATTAGAGCAGCATTAGAAACAGGAAGAAGTTTAAATGATTAAATCAAAACTTTAATGATGAAACGAGGATGACAATTTAGGCATCTTTTATCTAAAGATATCGTGTACAATCCAACAGGTCACCTTTCCTGTTTTTTCTATTTCATTACAATCTCTTTTACATATTCTTTAAAAGCAAATCACGTTTTAACCAGGACTCTCAAAGTAAGCGAAAATGTGATGCTTAGTGTTTGTCATGAGAATGAATTTCAGCAGCCCTAACAATTGTACTGTCTGTTGGAAAATGTAAGTAGAAATCCATTCACATTAATAAACTCAACCCTAAGTGGGTAAATCAAATTCCACTTCTATTTTTTTTTTACATTTGCCTATGTTAATGGGCCCTTCCCACAAACCCTTATTCTCCTGAATTATATGACAAATGAAAATTTCTGCAGGCCTTAATGCACACAATATATTTTACTAGGTAAACTGGCAGGCAATCTCCAAGCACAGATCAAAGGTTTGCACAAAACAGTGCTATCAACCTCATGTGTCCACACTATTTCAGTCATGGTGTTTTAACATGCTTCCCTGGCTCCTAGACAAGGTGTGGGAGAGGGTACTGGCCACAGCAGAGATGGAGAGGGAGAGGATATTGGCCAGAGAGATGAGCAGTGGAGCAGAACGAGCCCACTGAGGTAACGGAAAGCTGCAGAAATAAAGCTTATTTGCATGTTGTAACACTATGCAACATAACATCCTTTGATTTTATCCTTTTAACTGCGTATTGTAATGTTCTGAACATAGGCTTAATTATTTTTTATCCCACTGGGCAATTTGAATTCAAAGTTTCTTTTCCTTGCTAGCAATTCTGAAACTGTGCTCAAAATTCTATTTTGCAGTGCGAGTCTTTAAGAGTGTCACTATTACTGATCCATTTCTTTTGCATTCTATCTGTGCGATCACAGATGCTGCATTTTTACTGCTGTTGCATTAACCAAAAATGGCAGGCATAAATAACAGAATTTACATGGATGGCTACACTTTAGCATATTAAGAAATTCAGATTATCTTGCCCCATACAGTATGGCATGAACTGCTGCGCACATCCTTAAGCTAACTGCAGTGCCTCAGAGCTCAATGCACCTACAGTTTGCACTTTTTGCACGGACTTAATATTTTTTTTTTACCTCCATGTATTTATTGTTCTGGTTGTTGTTATTTATTATGTTTGTATTGTACTGTCTACATTGTGTTACTGTACATTGTTTGAAAACCACCACTGTATGCTGCATTGTTTTCCATTTATAAATAAACCTTGATTGACTGATTGCTGTATAGTGATTGTCTTGATAGATAAGAATAAGAATTATCATCAACTGGCTGAACAGTCTTAGCTATATTATGTGTGCACTTCATTTTATACTGAATTTTATTTTGTAGTTTCCAAATGTGTATTTCTCATATCTTTTCAAATTTTAGCCTTTAGAGAGACTGGCCCATTACTCCCTTTTCTTATTTCTTGGCTTCAACGAATATGTACTGTATATTTTTGAAAATGTGAACTTCAAAGCATATTGGCTTCAGCACAATTATATTTATCCCCCTGCTGCTAGTTGATGCATAAAATGATGCTGAGAACGCAGTCATTGATTGTGCTATTTTCATCTTCCTGAAATCATCTACGTAAACAACTATCTGGTCTCTTCTGTACATACAGGATTATCATTGAAAGTACATTTTCAGGTCTAAACCTTATCTCTCATTACAATACTAAACAGCTTCACATAAAATATTCCAGGGGTCTTAATGCACAAAGGCAGACCTTACTTCTTTTCATCAATGGATTACTAGGACATTTCTCAACTCTGACAGGCTACAGTATAAGTCATGTAGGGGAGACAGGAGACAGTTTAATGTACATACTATAATTGCATTATTCACTGCTGATCCTTTATAGGATGACCTACCCACACCATAGTTACTCAGTTATCTGTTGTATTTCTTTATCCATTGCTACATAACACTTTTTTCTTGTATATTACTGTTCATCCCAGAAGGATCCCAGAGTGATTTACATTAGGAGGGGACCACACTGAAGTGTGGCACGCACCTGGTTAACATACAGTACAGCAGTAATGATGCACCAGCGACTCCACAACATAGCAGACCAGGTGGAGAGGTGAGAAATAACTTCATCTATCTGTTTAATTAAGGGGTGCATTTGTTTTAACTGTGCAAACCCAAACTGGAATACAGAGATAACAACTTTATTTACAGTATTTTAGGATCTTTACTAAGAATTCAGGACCTTGGTTTAATGTTTCATTCAACATATGATTTGTCCCGGAGAACAGTGTGCCCTGTCACCTTATTGGGGCACTGTTTTGAAAATTACAGATCAGAAGGAAATAGGACTATCTCCTCTGTCTCCTACACGTCGTAGAACAGAAACCCTGATGCGCCCAAACAGCAGCAAAGAATATAACAAATTTACCTTTTAACTGTAAAAAAGAGTCACCAATGAAGTTATGGCTCTGTCAAAGTTATAAACACTACCACTGGTTTTCAAGCTTCTAATACTGGAACTCTCTAAGTTTGGCACTTTCTCCGTAACCAGAAGATCCTCTCCAAACAGTATTCTTTATCCAAAGTTTGCTTTAGATATTTAAGATTTTGTTGTTTTATAAAGTATATAAAGTTTTTCTTGTTCATGTTAATGCAAATTATTGCCTTGTAGCCTGTTGAATGACTGCGTGGAAAATGATTGCTTTCAATTGCACCTCGATAGAAAATAAAAATGACACAGAATTACCTCCTGTCATGCCTTTTGAAAAGAACGCTATCATGCTGACAACAAATCAGAGATAATCAGCGATTTGATTTTGATATAACAAAAAGCAATAACGGACAAATGTTCCATTGCCTACAGAGTAAAAGTCTGGAAAAATAACCAGCAATTACGTGTTGCTAGTGGTTTGTTGTATCAAAAACCATATAAAGCTCTCTAGCACTGTACGGAACAGAAAACTTTCAGAACACTGGATCCAGAGTGCTGTAAGATCCAGCTGTACACAAAATTCAGCAATTTTATCCACCATTTATCCACCATTTAGTCTATGTATGGAATTTTCCACACTTGTATATAATCCATTCAATATTGTATGCTTGTTTATAACTACGATTACTGCATGTGGGAAATTGCTTTCTATTATTACAGCAAAGTGGGACACAATATCAAAGTACTTCAGTCTGTCTTTACATATGTAGACGATCAGACTTACAGTGTACAATTTTAGGCAGACCACAAAGGTACAAGCAAGAAGGCACAAACAGGAATCCAAAAGAACCGTTGCTTTCAACAAAGCAGGTCATCTATCTTCCACAAGATCATTCTTGTCCAATAAAAACAATAGCAATTTCAATAGCACAGCCTGCAGACAGTTCTTAATAATCCACGTGTTTGCTAAACATTATGCAGTTTACTTAATCCCAAAATGAGCACCATAAATACTTCACTCAGCAGTCTTTGACCTTTTATCTTGCACAATGAAGATACTGTACTGTATACTGTATATTTACAGTAACTGCTTAACAGCCTCAGTGCAAATAAAATGTCTAAAGGCCTCGGTGCCACCTTGTGGTCTTACTAACAACAGCACATTTTCCTTCTTTAAGTCAGTACATATTGCACGGAGGTAAAAGATGTGACCTTAAACCATGGAAGTTCTATAGGTTTTGTTCTTCATGAAAGTGTTACAGTCAGGAAGAGATGGTACTGTATTCCTCTTTTCATTTAGTTTCTTAAGACAATGCTGGACATGGATCAAAGTCTGCCTATGTTTTTACAAATCATTTCAAAGAAAACCAGTCCTAATTAGCGTGTGATCCAAAAGTGTGAGGGCATAAAAAATAGAAGAGGGAACACGGTTTTGTTATTTTTATTTATTCATCACAATAGCATGCTAGACACGCCATAGAGCAGAGGCACAGATCATTATCTAGAAATGTAAACCAAACATCAACACCCCATGCATTTTAATTAGGCCCTGTTAATTGACACTTAAAGACTGCACTGCACTTCTGGCAAGGCACAGATGTTTCATTAATTTGCTTCCACCTAATAACAAAGAACAGCACACAACGGACCCAAGCACTCAGGACTTTAATCTCCACCTTCTGGTACCATGAAGAATTACACTAGCATTTCTTTTTCCTCAAAACAGAATAACAGCAGCTGTCCAGGCAGTAAAAAGGGATCATCAGTCTAAAAGACAGTATAAAACGACAAGTAATAGGTTTATTCCATTCTGAAAAGAGAAAAAAATAAAAAACGTTTCGGCTGTGGAGCCTTCTTCATATAACATGACAGCCTTTTTAAAAATCCCTATGCTGTAATCCAATGCTAATAATATTTTTCTTAGGTTTTATATTCAGGTTTCTGGAGGGTATTAATCTGAATGATATAAGTAAGACATTTCTTATTCCAATAATTCATCAAGATTTTACTACTGACCTTCTTTTATAGAAGCTGTATTTTACTTTATTTTGCTGTATTTTAAATATTTGTGCCATTAAAGGAAAAGAAAAGTTAGGAAGACATGTTTCAGGAAAAACATACATACTATAACATATAGCATACTATAAAAATATCAAGCACATTTAGAGTTTTTTTTTTGAGGATGGTGAAATTACTGTCAAAGACAAAGTGTCTGGTATTATATATTAAAATAATACTCATGAGATAATTATATTGATGGATATTATATCAGTTACATTCTTAATTGAATAATGACTCATCCTAGCACGATGTATGAAATAGTCCAGGTACAGAAATTGACAGAGGATGTCAGCATGTATGTCAGCATAGTGATCTTTGATTAATATGTCCAATTTAGATCAACAGTATTCATTAAAATGATATGAACATGAATATTATGGAATGGATTCTAATCCATCAAATGTTAGGAACTGTTCTATTTTGCTA